AGATTCGCATCATGGATGTGCAGCCGACAAATCTGCGGCAACTGTGTGATGCCATCATGTCAATATGGACCAAACTCCCTGAGGAATGCTTCCAGCACCTTGTTGAATCTATGCCACGAAGAATTGAGGCAGTTCTGAAGGCAAAAGGGGGTCCAACCCGTTACTAGCATGGGGTACCTAATAAAGTGGCCGGTGAGTGTAGACTGGTTCAAACCGATAACTCATGAATATGAGAATAATTTGTAAGTCTTTTTGATGAATTCATTAAAAAAAAATAGTTGACTAATCTGACTACAATGGTCGTGTTGCATGATTGTTGCGTGCAAATAGTGAGGACAATGCAATAGAAAAAAAAGAACCCTTTAACAGACCAGAAAAAAATGCCTCCAGCACTTAAAAAAAATACCTGTATGAATCTAAATATGATTATTGATTCACAACTCTAGTCATAACAGGGCAAAGTTGAAGCTGTTTGCTCTGGAGAAAGAAAGTTCCAGGTGTAAAAGTTAAAGAGCAAACCTGAAAGGTCACTGGATGGGACACTGATTTACCGGTCAACCTCTATTACCATGTATGCATGGTAATCTACAACAAAACTGCTGAAGACTGAATATGAGCATGAGAGAAAAGAGGGATAAAAAGACAGCAAGATCAAAGGACTGCAAGGTTTCTGCAAGGTACACTGCTCCTGGCTGATGGCCGTCCATCTGGACCCGACGCCCCGCTGTTATCATTTGAAACGTCCGTGTGGCTTAAACCATCAGCTCTATCATAACTGTCATAACAGCAATGACGGAGCTGGTGTCATAACAGTCAACTGTCGTTTATGCTAATGGCAAGTTCAGCAGGACAGAAATACTAATCATTTTCTTTCTACAGTGTTGTGCAGCAAACATGAAGAAAACAAAGCACGTTTAGTGATATTTCTCCGCAGCAATACAATATATATGTGTGACAGTATAAAACCCTGAGGGCCACAAACAGATATGACGTGTGCACTTTATTCCGAGTCTTCTGAAGCCATACGATAGCTTTGAATGTGTCTGTGAGTTTACAGTGGTATAAATCTTTTTAAGTGCAGGCCTTTTGTGTCTCTGTGATGCCATATACTGCAGCAGCAGCAGCCATCACTGAGGACAGCTCTAAAAATAGAGCCGACTCTTCACAAGAACACCTGACAAGACTCCCTCTCGCACTCCTTTCCAGTCTCTAACGCACACGATCTCACTTTCCATCTCCAAATCGCTTTGTTTCACTCCTCACTGAATCTAATTACGGCAAAACAAGTATCAGCTCAGCGGCAGCAAAGTCTACCCATCAGCAGCCCTCATCAGGCCTAGGGCGTCAAATAACACGCTAAAACACATTAACACACAAATATCTTACATGCACCCTTGTTTGTGCTGGGAAAAGGCTGAGTCTGCTAGTGCAGCAAAATAAGCCTAGCTACTAAATCCTAAATTGCTGTTGTTGTTTTACATAAATAACGGGACAGACAAGGGAAATAATAAAAATAATTGAACATTTAATTGTGCATAGTTAGGATAGCAAAGTAAATCAAATCAGAATCAAATGGTTCAAACTAATCTTTGGTTATTGATTTCAAAAGCATGTTTCTTTGGCATATGGCTAATAATGTAAATGGTAAAACAGTAATATAGCTAAAACCAATACAATATTTGGCCCAGAGTTTGTTTAATCAATACTTGGTACTTCATGCATTTGTTGTTGTTTTTCACAAAACAGTCAGTGTCCAATTCAGACTATGTCATGTTATTATTATTATTTATTTTGCATATTCTTGGGCCTATTATTAATAAATACATTTATATAAAATGTTTATAGTATATACATTTTTATATTATATTATATTATTATATTATATTATGGTCTGTCTGAATACTCCATTCTGATTGGCTGGAAGGTGTGCATTAAAACCTTTTAATGCACAGGTAGCTCCAAGTCAGTTTAATCACTGTTCTATATTAACCCTCTGGGGACGGATTGGGCGGTACCGCCCAAAATGGCATACTTTTACAAATGTGTAATTATCTTAAATACTATTAATGATAGAGAGGTGCGGTCTTTTTTACCGCCTTCCTCAGATTCCGCTGAAAACAGTGATAACTCACCCGGCTAGTAAATATACACACTTCCTTGTTGCGCAATACCACTATGTAAAAAGCCAATGAAATCGATGTTGTTTGGCAGATTCCGCGAACAACAACCAATGGAAAAATTGCCGATGGAGAAATATTTTTCTTACCCAATCAGAGGAAGGTTACCATGACGTCTCTAGCAAATCAGAGGACTCTGTAGCCTTGCAAGGGGTGGTACTATATAGAGCTGGTAAGTCCCGCCCATCCGTAAAACTCCAAGTGGACCTCTAGGTTGAAAAAGCGTCAATGCAAGTGAATTAGAGAAAATAATTATTTTCTGATCCCGTTTGAATTGTGCCATGAATGTGAACATATGTTGTCTGTGCATTTTTTATATAATTTCTCATGTAACGAGTTTGACAGTATATTGTATGATTCTTTGGCTAGCAGTTGTGGAATAGACATAACGAGAAAGACTACACGTCGCATATGTGACGTCACCGCATAACACATTTTCCCTCCACAAATCACGGTGCGATAATCTAAGGAATTAGATCGAGATGCCTGTGTTTTTTGTACCCAAATGTCACCATTCAAACAAAGGCATGTTTAGCGGGATCCGTGTGCTAGTGGTGGTGACGTATATCAAACGCGTCGAAAGCAGTGAAGAGTTGTAGTCCACAAAGTGCTCTCACACAAAGTCTAACCGTATGAAAATTCTACCCGCTAAATTGTAGCATTCTTTACACGAAATATTATATACAAAATTCACAGACAACATATGTTCACATTCATTGCAAAATTCAAACGGGATTAGAAAATAATTATTTTCTCTCATTCACTTGCATTGACGAATTTTCAACCTAGAGGTCCAGCGGGGTAAGCAGAAGGGGCGGGACTTACCAGCTCTATAGTTAGGGATATGACGCAAACAGCGTTGAATGGAGAGAAGGAGAGAGAGCGAACGGAGGCTTACGGAGCGGATTATCAGAGATTTATATGAGAGAGACAGAACAATTATAATATATATATATACACACATACAATTATAGCATTATTTATTGTTTTAGCACTTTTATGATGGCAAGCAGTAGACGCTTTACGGTGGAACAAGCTCTGGAACAATTACTGGAGAGTGACGAGGAGAAAGCATTGCTTAGAAAATTCTAAACATTCCTAAGAAAAACGCCTTGGACTATTTGTAAATAAAGTTACATTTTTCATTGTTCTTTACACATTTTATTTAACAATTACACATGTCTGTCAAGCAAAGGCTTTGACAAATATATTTTTTGTTCAAAAACTGTTCACTATTGTTGTGTGATGTGTGATTTTCAGAAATAAATGACAAAAATCTAATTTCCGTTTTTGAAATTCTCTAGTTTATAGTACATTTTTCACTCATACTTCCTTTATAAACACATTGCATGCATGCTTATGTTAGCTTAGGGTCTTCTGAATCCATAGATACCAAACACATAGTGTTCCATCTCCATTACATATGGTTTATAAGGCCAAATGTAAAAATAGAGAAAATGGACCAAAAAGGGCTGTTTTCATTGAAGCGCGCACACACACACACACACACACACACACACACACACACACACACACACACGTCACTCGCACACAGAGAGCGGAGATCGCGCTGTGCACACACAACAAACATTTAGGAACACAGAAACTTGTTTTCAACACAGCACTGCGACTTTTAGTAAAAGCTTCGCTACTGAATCGCTACATTATGTTTCTCTGCGACGAAGGGGTTACATTGCTATTGCTAAGTAATTAAACTCACAGCTTTATTGTTAATAGACAGAGAGATGAGACACCTCTCATCTCTCAATAATTAATTCAAATAAATGCTAGAATTCATTCATTCATTCATTCAAATAAATGTAATCTTACGCACTACTTTATCTCTGTGTCTGATTCAAAGCGTGCAGAATGCTAGATCTAATAAGCCGTAACTGTGGAAATAACCGTCAATTTTACCCTTCCAGTCATATATTGCGCTGCAGCCCGCATTTAAATATTTTTAATGCACTTTGCGGAGACAACCAGCCTCTGCTTCACGTCAGGCAGTTGCCTCCACGTTGTAAGCCGTGGATGATATCTTATTTATTATATTATATTATATTATTATAAAGAATTATACAATAATTACAATGTTTGATTTTAAAAATAAATATACAATTTAGTTTAGTTACTGTTCTGGGTCGCCGCTTGATGTCCAATGTATAATCTGTGTCTTCAAGCAAAACTAGTTGAGAAACTAATATAATATGTTGGTTGTGAAAGAGTGAACCTAACCAGTACATAACTCATCCAGCACCATTTGTGCTACATAAATGATACCTCAAACTGTGCAGCTTATTGAGGAAAGGTATACTATTACAGGCTTAAATTAATAAAATTATTATTTTCGCTGGCCAGGAAAACAAAAAAACAAAAAAAACAATGAGGTACCCAAACCATATCTAGAAACCAGAAGATTACAGTGACTTTTGACTTGGTCCAGTAAGCAACCACCAAGCAGTCAATCAGAACACCCTTGCAACTGTTTAACACATTCACAGTATAGCATAGCAATGCCCCAGGAACACCAGCAGCAAGTGGCACTCAAAAAAACATAAAAAATCTAAATTGTTATGAGGCAATCTCAGCGTGCAACCTGGAAGCTTGCAGTATAAATTCACCCACTTTAAATCATTGTTGGACCAAACATTCATTTGGCAACAAAAATACACACAAGACATCTACACAAATAATCCTTATTGCTTCAGTCACAAGGTCATAAACTCTCATCACACATACAGTATATAACCCACATATACATAGAAATCACAGCTGCAGGAAGTGACACACAGAGAAACAGAAACAGTGAATAAAGTACGATACCTGAGCCTTAACGCATTCCTGTGGAGGAGCCAGTATGAGGAGAGAAGCAGAGAAGAGGAGAGTTATTACCAGCCTGGGTTATTGAGGAACAGAGCAGGCTCAGAGAAACCCTGTTAAGCACTTTGCAAGTCATACTACGGGAAGAAGAGAGGGACACATCCTTTATAAAAGCTCAGACGCTATCAAAAAACAACAGAGGGTAGTGCACACACACATACACACACACACAGCCGAGAAACATGAGGCGGATGCTGAAATAAAAAGCCACAAAGCTAAAATAAGGAACGCGGACATTTCAGGTGAACAGAAAAGCTGATAATTATGCAACCAAATACAGATGATGAGAGGTCATTTAGTTATTGAACAACTGAAATGCAATGATCAGCAAACCAAGAGACGCAAAAAAAGGAAAAACCTGGTATTCATTGACTGAACAAGGGTCTCATGATCATTAAAGACCAGCTGCCCCACAGTACTGGAGAGGAAGGGAAAAAGACAGATTTATAGAGAGACAAAATGGTACCCAGTGTGAGCCAAAAACAAGGCATTCACTGTTCGCTAGTCTTAAAGTCACTATTGACAGACAATCTAATTTTATTTAAAGATTGAATGAAATGGCTTGACAAGAGCAGTTTTTTCCCCCTATTGAAAATGGAAAATTGGGTAGGGTTTTTTTTTTCATAAAAAAAAATAATTAAATAGGCCTAAGCATTAATTTTCGTCACAGTTTTGAATCATCTTTTAGTACTTGCTACACTAGATGGAGATAGAAAAAGACTACATTTTTTATTGTAAGTATACAGATGATCTCAAAACTATGAACTAAAAGCCTAATCTACAATTTCGATTTCATGGGGTGTTTGTTTACAACACAAATGTAAGTGTGATATGAGAGTAACTTCAACAAATTCCCTCAGTGTCTGTGATAACCTGTGATTTTCAGAAAAAAATAAATGAAATAATAATAATACACATAATTGCTTGCGTATTGCTGGGTTCTCACTGCAAAACAACACAAAAATGCAACATGGTATTTTAGCAAAAAATGATCAAATTACATTTCTCAATCCCTCTTTTTCATGAAATAATTATAATCACTACACTAAACTATGAAAAATAAAATAAAAAATGCAATGCAATGAAAATTAAAATTGGGACTGTATAATAAGCAAAAATATAATAGTGTAGCCTATATTATATAGTTTAATAGTGAAAAACATTCTAAACATCAGCGCCTTTCCTGTTTTGGTGTGGAATAGACTGACATGTTGTTGATAGTCAAAAATGTTGCTTAAAGGGATACTCCACCCAAAAATGAAAATTCTGTCATCATTTACTCACCCTCAAGTTGTTGCAAACCTGTATGAGTTTATTTCTTCTGCTGAACACAAAGGAATATATTTTGAAGAACGTTTAGAACCAAACAGTTGTGGGGCACCATTGACTTCCATAGTATTTTTTTTCTACTATGGAAGTCAATGGTGCCAAACAACTGTTTGGCTCCAATCGTTCTTCAAAATATCTTCCTTTGTGTTCAGCAGAAGAAAGAAACTCATACAGGTTTGCAACAACTTGAGTGTGAGTAAATGATGACAGAATTTTCATTTTTGGGTGGAGTATCCCTTTAAATGACTGGAGAAGGAGTGTGGTACGTCCACTAACATCACTGAGATGAATTAACTGTACCTCATCATGTGGCTCCAAGCAGTTTTGAATTATTACGCATCTACAAGATGCCTCCAAATACAGTATGACAAATCTGAAATATGTCTAAAAGGGCAGAGAATCTTGAGACGAGTTCAACTGTGTGAGGCGGGCAGCACAGAGTACAATTATTTCACTCTGGTTCCAGAAACTGAATCAAATTAATCTCAGTCAGAGAGTCTCTATAAGGTTACGTGAGATACATAAGGCTGATACATGATGTAATGTTTGGGAAGTGAATTTTCACCTTCGGCTATGTCTGAGTATGGAAATCCCACCGTGGAGGCACTCAAAAACTCGCAGATTAGCTGGAACGCCCGTCAGCTTAACATCCCATGCGTTCCCTCTTGAAGACACTACTGTGAACTTTCTTAGCCTGCTACCACTGATCTGAGAACAAAAACACGGTCCAAATCTCTTCCCACGGACCATAACAAAAAAAGGGAGCTGTTTGGGGAAAACTGTGCAGCTGAGAAGATACAATGGTGGGAATAATTTTGGTGTCCCGTTCTAATGTATCTCAAGGGGAAAACAATTTAGCTCAATGATGCTTGACGTATTTTGTTGTACCAAACAAAACAAGAATTTCCAAACAAGCTGAGGGAACACTGGCTTCTCTCCCAGGGGAATTGGAGGAATGCTGGGAATGAACTGCAGTAGAATTGGGGGAGACAAATCAGGAATGTGTCTACGTGATGGTCCAGCTTTGAACCTCCATGAAACATCGGTGTCAAAAATTCCCAAGATTAATGCCCAAAGCGTTATGAAAGCAGAGCGTCACTCAAATCTGCTGGAGATTTAGTAGAATAAAATACAACTCTGTTATTTGTTCTCTTTAGGTGCCGAAGGAAAGACGTAAAAAAAAAATGCCCTGTTCTCCTTACAACCTGCTATCAACGTGGCATCCATCCTTTAAAATGACCACGAAATCAAAACTGACCTGAATAACTTCCTATATAAATGTTCCTTATTGTGAATGATTCATCAGTGCATATGTTAATCCAAAAAGAAAAAAAATGAATTAATAAATGAATTCATCAATAAATAAATGAATATAAAATTTTAAATAATATAAATGTACGCCGTTTTGTAATCGGTCATGTCATCAAAATAAAATAAAATAATATAAATTAAAATAAATCAAGCCATTTTCAAAATCTTGCCAATTCTTAATTTATTGCTGGTTAATGTAATGTAAGAGCAAATAATGATACATTTGCAAAAATAAGTGGAAGCATTGATATAATGACATGCTTTTGAGAGTAAACCTGTCCTTCAACTTCAAAAAGCCTCAAAAATGTGTGCCAGCCAAGGATGTATTTACATTTGTTCTCCATAATCTTGCATATGTGATCATTTTAAGAATGAACTACTGAAAGACCCATTACAGTTGACAACTAATGTATTGGATATCTGAACCCAATATCTGATCTAAACAAATGTAAATACATACACAGTATATATGATTTTTTCCCCCCCTTTCTCTCTGCTCTGTCTCTGTCCTCTACTCGGCTGGGGCTTGATGATGTTGTATATCACACATCCAGATGGTAGCAGTGCAGTGGATTCTCACTTCAGCCTGCCCAGAGCACAGTGGGGATTGAGCGCATAAAACACCAGCACATCTTAAGCCAACACGACATACTGACAGTGGACACATAGGCAGAACACCTACAGAGAGACCATATAACAGCCACCACGGCACAAGTAAAATGAGCGACTATAATGGAAACTACAAAAAAAGTAAAGCATCTTGCACATACAGGATCAAACAATGTGAGTTGCTGCAAAAGAACATTTAAGAAACTGAGGGAATGGTCCAAAAGAGAATAGGAGGGTGAGATTTAAAACACATTGGAACAAAGATGCTATTCCTATTTTACTGCTCAAAGCAGCAGTAATGAGCAGAAGAAAGCTTCTGAAAATTGCACCGCCTATTTTTACGTTATAATGAGCTAGCACCCATTTTAAACCTGAACTCTGTTTATTCGATCTGAAACTAGCCTGTCACCATGGCCTCTTAAGATAATGTGCGAGTTTGCTTTAGCTTTGGTTTTAAGCGTTCATTTTCTCTATGCTACAATAACTTCTCCTTCTCTGCTTAATATGTATAGACAACTACACTCACCGGCCACTTTATTAGGTACACCTGTCCAACTGCTCGTTAACACTTAATTTCTAAGCAGCCAATCACATGGCGGCAACTCAGTGCATTTAGGCATGTATACATGGTCAAGACAATCTCCTGCAGTTCAAACCGAGCATCAGTATGGGGAAGAAAGTTGATTTGAGTGACTTTGAACGTGGCATGATTGTTGGTGCCAGAAGGGCTGGTCTGAGTATTTCAGAAACTGCTAATCTACTGGGATTTTCACGCACAACCATCTCTAGGGTTTACAGAGAATGGTCCGAAAAAGAAAAAACATCCAGTGAGCGGCAGTTCTGTGGGCGGAAATGCCTTGTTGATGCCAGAGGTCAGAGGAGAATGGCCAGACTGGTTCGAGCTGATAGAAGGGCAACAGTGACTCAAATAACCACCCGTTACAACCAAGGTGGGCAGAAGAGCATCTCTGAACGCACAGTACGTCGAACTTTGAGGCAGATGGGCTACAACAGCAGAAGACCCCACCGGGTACCACTCATCTCCACTACAAATAGGAAAAAGAGGCTACAATTTGCAAGAGCTCACCAAAATTGAACAGTTGAAGACTGGAAAAATGTTGCCTGGTCTGATGAGTCTCGATTTCTGTTGAGACATTCAGATGTTAGAGTCAGAATTTGGCGTAAACAGAATGAGAACATGGAACCATCATGCCTTGTTACCACTGTGCAGGCTGGTGGTGGTGGTGTAATGGTGTGGGGGATGTTTTCCTGGCACACTTTAGGCCCCTTAGTGCCAATTGGGCATCGTTTAAATGCCACGGCCTACCTGAGCATTGTTTCTGACCATGTCCATCCCTTTATGGCCACCATGTACCCATCCTCTGATGGCTACTTCCACCATGTCACAAAGCTCTAATCATTTCAAATTGGTTTCTTGAACATGACAATGAGTTCACTGTACTAAAATGGCCTCCACAGTCACCAGATCTCAACCCAATAGAGCATCTTTGGGATGTGGTGGAACGGGAGATTCGCATCATGGATGTGCAGCCGACAAATCTGCGGCAACTGTGTGATGCCATCATGTCAATATGGACCAAACTCCCTGAGGAATGCTTCCAGCACCTTGTTGAATCTATGCCACGAAGAATTGAGGCAGTTCTGAAGGCAAAAGGGGGTCCAACCCGTTACTAGCATGGGGTACCTAATAAAGTGGCCGGTGAGTTTATATGTAAAGCATAAATATTACTTTATCTCTGTTACACTGTTTGTTTGAGAATCCTGACCAGTCCAACACAGCAACATTAGCTCAACCAATGGTACAAGTTTGGGGGTGGAGCTATGAGTTTGACCAACGGCCCATGGCAGACCGAGGGAGTTTCTGGGAAACCAGTTTGGAGCCTGTCATTGGCTGCATCCGAAATGTATACTATGCCTAGTGTATATAGAATAACCCAATGTGAAAAGAGTAATATCTGCAGTTTTGCACACTTGTTAGCTACCATTGTAAGTGCATTGCAAGTAAATACATTATCTGTTCCTTTTTGCAAACTGAGGGTGGTAAAACTGTCATAGATGCAGTCAATAGAACTTAAGTTGTTTTTAACCCAAAATATTCCTTTAAGGCAGAAGATAAAACAAATAATTGAACACAACCCCATGAGGATGGGGCAGCATTAGCTAAATTAACAGATTCTTACAGTAACAGCAGAACAAATGCAAATATATTAGCGGAGAGAAGTTCATAGCAAGGAGACAGAGAACTTGTTACTTCCACATTTGTAATACGAGGAAAGAGAAGTGGTTATTGTTACCAAAAAGAGTGCCAACAGACTTCCAGAAACCTAAAGCTTTACATAATATCCCTGTAGTGTTACTTTTGTGAGAGGAACATTGGTGTGTGTACCTGACGCACTGAACTGGCTATGGTATAGAACTATGTGAATACGCGATCATATTTTACACCAGAAGTCAAATCCATTGAATAATACCAGTCAACATCATGCAAAGACAGAACGGGGGCGGTATGATGGTACATTATATATCATGCAATGGTAGAAATGCATCAAGCGGTAGAGATTTTCCAGCACCATTTATACACCGTAGATATATTAGCATCGCTTTTTGCATTATTTCACAAAAAAGATGAACATGCATAAATCAGCTATTTTAAAGCTTCAAATTTGATTCAATCAGCCATAATTAAGACTGCAACATATATGTTTGATAATATTAGTTTTGAAATGTAGTTCATAAAATGTGAAGCTGTAGTGCACTGGTGATTGTTTGCATCCAAATAAAAACGCTTTTATCCCAAAAAACTTAATTCACTGGATTATAAAAAAAAAGAAAAAAGAAAGCATAACAGCCTAATTTTTTTCAACAAAAACAAAATACAACCACAATCTAAAATCACTGATATTGAATTTTGATCATACCGCCCATCCCTATGTATAGAGAAAAAACAAGCATTTGCAATGACACATTTACCAGCATGTAAACAAACACGAAAGCTAAGCCAGACAGGAACAGGAACGCCAACAGTCATACAGGGGGAGGGGCAAAGGAGAGGCTGTACAGGTAAAGTTAAAGCATACGACTGACCGTATGGTATCCCCGTGCTACGGGCGGCTTGCCGGCGGGATATGGGTCTACGGTGTCAATGATGGTCTGCCGCTCGCCCTTCTGGTTGATCTTGCGAAACCTTCGGCGGGACTGTCGGTGCGATGCCTGCCGCTGGAAATACTCCTCATTCTCATCCATATAGTCCACCTGCAAACGGAGGAGAGATTTGAGTGAGACTCTCTCTCTCCCCACCCCACCCCCCCATCCCCTCCCGCCCCTCTTACTGGCGCTGTGTAAAAATAGCAGTGGGTGTGCGAGCCTGTGTGTGTGTGTGTGTGGGCTGAGCCTCAAACACCTACGTCAAAGCGAGGCGTACAACAGACAGAAAGGTAGAAAAAGGGAGATGTAGTTTCAAAGCAGCAGCTTGCGAGAGTCTTTCAGTGGTGAATTGTGCATGTTATGCGCTTTCTATGGCATTAAACTAGAAATTAGGTAAAATAGCAATAATTAAACAATGCATATTCCAGATCACTGTTTATTCAACATATTTGCGGTGAGACCAGGAAATGTCATTGAAGGGGTGTAAACTGACCATGGCAGGTCTTTGAACAACAGTAAATGAGTGTGTCATCATCATACACATTAAGGATATAAGTTGCATGTAAAACTGGCCGGCCACTGTGACATTATGCCATGAAAAGTGACATGATTATCCCTCTGCCTTATTTTGCTGCAGCCTCAGATTTCACACCCACTCTGCCTTTGGGATTACACATCAAATCTCTCGCTACCGTACCAACTGCTGCTATGGCAACTGCCGGAGAGTGCGAAGCAGTGGGAATATATTGGGCGGTGTGAGCAAGTGAGAGTGCAGTATCTATATCCTGCCTCAGCCTGTAATTACAGGGCAGCATTGGCCGGTAATAACAGATGAGATACCCAACGAGGGCACAATCAACTGTCGAGGACAGTTGCCATCGCCCAAACCAAAGATTATGCTTATGCATTTGGCAGATGCTTTTAAAAGTCTACAGTACATGCATTCCCTGGGAATGCAACCTGTGACCTTGATGTTGCTAGCGTCATGCTCTATGGGTTGAGCTACATATATACACTCTACTAGGGCTGCACGATACTGAAAAAAAATGGCGATATTTTGTTTTTCTGCGATAAATATTGCGATATGAATACAATTTCACCACATGCCTTGAATAGCTCTATTTGGAAAGAATTAATCATTCTAGAATGATTGGGGTGATTTTGTAGGGGAGTGAATCTGCATATAAAATAATAAACAAATTACAATTATAGGTAAATACAGTGGAACAAAGATACAAATGAAATAAACAGTGCTTCTAACAGCAAGGCACAGAAAATAACACTGTATAGTCTTCAAAAGTAAATGTAATTCATCTTTGTTAAAGCTACAAAAGTGATTTTCTCTTTGTATTTTGTTTTTTAATTAAGATTAATGACACAGACAGCAGCAGGAATATTAGGCTGCTGTCACTTTAAGACCGAACGCACGAATCCAATATAATGATACACATCAATTTTCTTTCTCAGTTGTTTACATTCACATAAGTGAATGTGTTTATGAGTATCCTCACTGAGGCGGGCATTTTGACAATTTTGGTATGGTGTATGTGTCCATTCAAGCACAAATAGACGTGGAGGAGAACAGAATAGGTGTTCGCGTGCTGTCTGGAAAAAATACTGTGATACTATTTCGGTATTCTTTGATGAAAGATATTTCAAGAGAACAGCATTATTAATGTCTTTACTGTCCCTTTTGATCAAATTAATGCATCTTTGCTAAATTAAAGTATTAATTTCTTTAAAAAAATCTTACTGACTTGAACAGTAGTGCACTCAACATGAAGAAACACACAGAAGCCTATTGAGTTGTAGTCACATGTAGGCGCATTTCCATGAGCTTAACTAAATCCGAGACTGCAAATGCAGATAGGGAGGGTCTTTCTGTACTTGTGAACATACATCATGAAGTGAATATGGAATATATTAGAGTGCATGGAAGGGCTTGGGTTCCTAAATATAATTATAATTTTTTTTTGGCATGGCGAGAGGATCAAATGGAGGCCATGTTGAAAATGACCCGCAGTGGGCAATTTGCCACCTGATGCAAAATAAAACTAGACCACACAAAACTAAATTGCTCCCCTTATACAAATATTATATATAAACAAATACTGTATAACATAGTTGTCCCTAAAACTTCTACACTAGGAGTTGTAGCTTGTGCGCAGACAGCTACTTCATTTTCCCCAATCTTTAATTATTGAATACTAAGAATCTGAATTCATTAAATTTTTTTATAATATTTATAGCTAATGATGGCAAAAAGACACTGAGTCACAAAACCTTAGTTAACCTATCCCTTGAAGGGGGCATATACACAAGACATGTTTAACTTTTCAGTATGTTTTAGTGTGCAATCTGTCTCAAAGATCAAGCAATGTGCTAATTAAAGCATCCAAAATCCTAAAAACATCTAGCATCAAAAAAATAAGACCATCTTGGACAACTGGTCGACCATTCTGACCCATTCCTAATTAGAACCAGCACATTTTCTTTGGAAAATTGTTTTTAGCCAATTGTTATCGGCCTGTGTAATGTCAAATCTGACCTTGTATGTACCCCTGGGGGTAAGCGTAGCACACTGTGTGAACCACTGGGGAAGAGGAATGAAACTGCAGCACAAAACTGCAATTATACCATGTGATTAGTAAGAGTATTAGGTTAAGATGATTATCTGGTCCATGATTACTCACCACAATCATCTCGGATGGCTCCAGCACGATGCACTCGCATCCACGACGTAAACTCCCAGCAGACCTCTTCCCAAAGCTAGAGGAGAAGAACAGGAGAGACAGAAAGGTTATATACCACTCAACCAATTATGGAATCCTTAGATTCTGTGGGAATGAAAGCGTGCTTAGAATCCGAGCCAGAGAAACACATATCCAAAGACTCGTGGCACTGTTCCTGGCCTAGCCAGTGAGATTCCACTGGGAAAGAAAGTACGACCAGACTGGAAAAGTCCACAGGATGACATCATGGCCTAATGAAAGAAGTACAGTGCAAAGTGATGGAGTGTGTGAGTAGCAACACAAAAAACTCTATTGAAAATTTAAGAAGGGGACCATGGAAACGTGAGGTGGAGTTCCATGCAGGATAAAGGTAAATACGCAGATTTTTTTTAAATCATCTGCACTGAACCTGTAATTGTTGGGTTAAAATGCAAATTCAGAGACTAGCATTTCCCAATCCCTCTTCTTCACAAAATAATTTCCTGTCATCAATACACTAAATAATGAAAAAGGCACAATTAATTAAAACAATTGAATAAATAGGGAAAAAAGCAAAAATAAAATAAACAGTTAAAAGCATATAATATATATAAAAAGTATATAATATATAATTTTTTTAAAAATGAAATTAATATTTTTTAAAAATTGATTGAAGGTAACATGTGCCACTAGTGGCACCAAACAAAACTGTAATCTGTTTGTTTAAAGTGCCCCTATTATCCTATTTTAAAGATTCCTAATTTTGTTTTGGAGGTCTCAAACACCTATCTCAAAATATGCATTGCACATGACCTCATTTCTTAGAAAATGGTTCTTTCCAAGATTCACGCTGCATCCCAATTCGCCTATTTATACTATGCCCTAAAAGTATGTTCTGTTTTTGTGAAGAAAAAGGACATACTTTTGAGTGTTGCAGGCAAGCTTTGGGACACACTACTTCATCAATATGGCGTCTTTAACTGACAGCTCTGTTGCTTAGTTACGTCCATCTTGTCACCATTTAAACTGCGCTGTCAATCATCTTGTCACAGTTACAATCCTCCACAATTATTTTATTTCCTACTGTTTCGGAGAGAAATATAGTAGCACGTTGATCTGCCAGTCGTGGGTCTTTCGTGTAGAGACTCTCCTAATGTGTTTGCAATTTGCATAATGATGCATTTAAAAGTTGTTGTACAAACGTATCTTTACAAAAGTTCACAATGCTGTTGCAGATGAAATATAATGTGGATAACATTGAATAAATATACTTTCGTCAGTTTAGAAACTGATAATTAATCACTCAAACCCCTATACCACCTCTCTACTTAACCGTGGGACTCGAACATCCGTCATGTTTTTAGTTTTTAATGCTTTTTATTTGTGTTTGTAGTTCTAATCTTTGGATTCTAAAGTAGAAAAAGAAAAAGTAGACCGGGTATCTTTGGAATTCTTATTTCAACATGCTATTATTTGGAACACACTAATTCTAATTTCAAATACTATTTAAGACGGATAGTATGCGAATTGGGACTCAGCATCAGTCTCTCTAAACCCCTCCTTTTTGAGAGCCTACTCTGCTCTGATTGGTCATAATGGCTCAGTCTGTTTGGTCTCCCGCTTACAGCGCATCGGAAACGAAACACCTTTTAACATATTTGAATTTCAGCACCGGAGGCTTCCCCTGCACTTGATACACTTATCAATTCCAGTACAAGTCCTCATCCTTTTAAAGTGGATTTGCAGTGCTGAAAAAAGCATCTTCTCGACATGTCGACAACACAAAGAAATATTACATTGTTACATAGGTGTGTAACAGGAAGTGAGACTGAAATTGCAGACAACTCATCTCGGCAGTTCAGAATCGATTCTTTCTTTTAAGAGACTTTATTTGTCGTGCACTTAGATCTTTAAAACTTTGCAGACCTTTACAAATTTTTTTTTTTTTTTTTTTTAAAGGGGGCAATATTTTAAGCACGCTATCTGGGTCTGACATAAAAACCCAGTGAGTTTAGGATGGGTCTAGCTATTTGGCTAAACAATAGAAGACAGATGGGATACTTGAAATACATACAATATATATATATTTTTCAATTCTGTTTGATGCTGTTTGTAATATTACATACTTCACCTTTCATCTGTTTTGTTAATTTACCATCAATGCTGCTTGCAAGAGACTTTTTGCAGCTGAATGAGCTGCCAGGTGACACTCTGGTCCAAAGCTGACACACACTTACACACACACATAAGTAGAAAGAAAAACTGCGGTTCAGCTGTGTAAGAAGTCAGCAAAACCTCTACATACACTTCAGAAAACTGTGAGTGACAAAGCAAGGCTGATTTTACTATGAGAACACTTGACTCCACTATATGAATTATAATACCTCACAATGACAATTGTCAGCATGACAGCATTATAATTATATTTAATTAATTATGTCAAAATTTCAACAACTGAACACTTGAACCAACATTTTTTTTTTGTCACAACAAGCCTTTGGGTAATGCACTACACTTACTGTTGAATAGCTAATTGTATACTGGTTACTGTACAGGTGCAGCTGGCAGATATAGTAACTAGCTAATATAGTTAGACTAACAGGTGGGATTCCCTCTACATTCATTGTTTCTTAGCTTAAGACCACACACAATGAGTCCTCTGTGTTGTAATGCTGTTTGACTTCCCTTGCAGGCTCCTATCCAAATACAAAACCTCAAGATTTGGTGTTTTCATTCATCGTTCATGATATACAGTGGCTATTATCTGAAACCACAGAGAGAATATCAGGGATTCCAAGTATAACTTGTGAATATAACTTTTATAACCGCAAAATGCAATATGAAAAGAAAAATGGAATACAGAAGCATTTCTAGATGTTTCTAGATGAATATAGGAAAAAATATTTGCCTTGAGCAGAACCAAATGAAAAGAGAAGGGTGGAAAAAGCTCTGACTTGTAAAATTCCAAATTCTAAAAAGAAATTCTCAGAAGCCAAAAAAAAAGGCAAACTGTAAAAATTATATTAAAACCAAACATTTGTTAATAAATCATATTAACGTCAGCCTTCATGCCACATTCCTTGGGAATTTAACTCATGGTGAGATGTGATGCCCACCCAGTCTTACATTCCATATTACACAACATTCCGGGTGTCTGGAATGTGATTCTGTGACGAACGCGGCAGGCACTCACACCCAGCGAAGAACATAGGGGTTTCCAAAGTAAATAAGCCCCGTTTCATCTCTCTATATTAAGCCGAGCAAAGATTAAAGAGCTGTTATGCAAGTGCTGTCGGTGGGCAAGTCAGAGGGGAGAAGGGGGTACATTGGAAGGTTTAAGGACTGCTGATGTACAGTAGAATGGATAATTCAATAACAGGATTCTACTGCAACGCTTCAGTGAGTGCTAAACAGCTGTGCCGGCTCTCAGATCTGCGCTTGCAGACACATGGCAACATAAAGCAGTGCAAACAGCATTTCACGAGAAACCCTGAACTGTTACTAGATCCGATTCTGGGACCGAAACACTTGAGGCATGCTTAGCAAAGCTTGACACTTGAGGTATGATTACTTCCATTTTGCATTAGTAAAAAACAGCATACAATAAAATAAAAATGTCCTTTAGAGAAGTATTTGATGGAAAGTAGGTTTATAGAAAATATTTACAAAAATGTATTTAAGTGATCTAATAATGCACTTAATATACAGCATTAAGACCCAATATGTAAAAACAAAACAAAAACATACTGTACCTGTAGATGAGAGAGAGCGGTTACAAAATAGGTCCAATGAAATCCATAAACAATCCAGACTACTTTAAAATCATGCATTCAGTCCCATACTTCTACCTCAAATGTGTTTTTAATGTTCTTGCTTAATATCCATACACACACGCTGCTACCACACTAAACACAAACGTGATTTCGTGAGCGCCACATGATAATCCAACTTCACGTATGCTGCTCTGCGAGAACTCTGTTCTGACAGCTCCGTCTGCCGCCTTCATCTTACAAGAGCGTGTGAGTTGGGGAATGTGCGCTCTTGAGAGTTAGTGGTGTTCGACCAAAGCCAACATTCCTGCCTGCCTCTTACTTCCTGTGGAGCCAAGAGGGAGTGGTTGACCTCTACCCACAAACATCATGACCTCTCAACCTAAACTCATAACCTGTAGCGACTTATAAGACTACAATCAAAGGCAACCTGGGAAAAGAGTTGGGTATTGTTTGAATTTTAATGATTCCGATTCCAATTCTGCTTATTGATTTCGATTCTTATCGATACCTAATTTTATTTCCAATGAAGTAAAAAAAACAACAACAACAACAACATGGATATCATTCACATTTATTCTAAGTCTGGGCTGAATTAGTTAGCTGAATACCATGAACAAAAATCAACAGGCCAAAGAACACTTACACAAGGAACTTTTGTCTATGGTTTAAAAATACCATGGCAAAAACAATTAACCCTTAGGGGTCCAACGTGTCCTTGAGATGTTTTGACATGCCCTGACATCTGTGCTTTTTTCAGTTGCTTATAAACATATTAATGACAAAGGTGTCATTACACTCTATTCAGCACAAACAAGGCTACATAATATGTGAGCAACATTTATGTATATGTTTGTATTTTTGAGAGGATAATGTGTATACATGGTTATTGAAAAAACAAGAAAATGTAAGTTTCTGAAATAAGGCCACAAAACACATACTAAATATGTGTCCACAAGACTTTTGACTGATGGATGTTGTCACCAAGAGTTTTTGCTTCATAATGATCTGAAAATCATCTTGCCTACTCATTCACATAAATGTTTAAGTTTAGAGGCGTGCTCCAGAAAAAAGTTCTCGGAGACGGAGAGGCAGAAAGCATACCCTGTTTATTTTCTTTATTTTACAAAAGTACAATGTTTTGTTTCGATTGTAAGTGGACACATAAAGTAGACATTTTACAGTTTATTTTTTTATATTTCTTATGCCTGTATGACAATAAATGACGGACTATTTTAAGTTTATTTTGCTGCTATGTGAAGAAAATCCAGCAAAACGCGCCGGCACAATTGTCGACCCCAGAGGGATATTAACCTAACTAATATAAATTTCAAGCATTATTAAAGACAAGTAAACACTCTAATAAAAAATAAAAAAATAAAACAAAAAATTGCACAAATAAATACAACTGAACAAATATACTATTGAAATAAACACTGTTTTAAGATATTCAGGTATTCAGGTACAGAAACTGTATTCAAATGTAAAATAACACTATATTTGTAAGGTATATTTTATTTATAAAGTGCAGTTACAAAAGTTATTCAGACAAGAACAGCAAGTGAATTTTCTCTGTTTTTTGTTGTTTGATTAAGGTTATTATAGAGACAGAATCAAAAATAATAGGCTGTTGTCACTTTAAAAAACTGCAAAGATCCAATATACTATTATGCTTTTTCTTTGTCAACTGTGTACGTTCACTTTAACATAACCGACTTTGTTTACGAGGATATTTTGACATATTTTTTGTGTATATTTTTCCATTACAGTGCAGTTCAGCATTGCGTACTATGAGAAGCGGCTTTCTGTGCGCACGTTTTGGATGTGTGTGCAGCACAGAAAACAGTGTGCGAGTCTTCTTGCCCTTGAATGGTTTAAAATCACATTAAAAACACTTTTCTGTGCACGTGCTTTGGATGTGTGTTCAGCACAGAAAACTGTGCAGGTCTTGTTGCGCTTATGGTTTAAAGTCATTTGAAAATGCACACAATCAATAAGAGGAATCGAAATGAATCCAATTCAGTATCCGATTCCTGAATTGGAATCGATTTTCAATACACACCCCTACCTGGGAGATTGTAAAGGAAAAGAAATTTGCATTCATACTCAAATTTGTATAGGTAAACCAAACAAAAAGGACTATTCATAATTCACAAAAAGCTAAACTGCACAAACAAGCCACCAACTACAAACCAAACTGGGTTTGTACAGCTAGGGGGCTGTAGCTGGGAATTGGCATGCAAAGTTGAGAACTTGTGGCTGAACAACAAATGAGGCATGTTGATGCATGCAGGGAAGCATTGTCTAGGACAGAGTTACCTATCAGATGTCACAGATAATACTCTCATGAAGTAAATGCATATCACTGCAGGGAAGAATGGTAAGGCTCTGAAAGCACTTCCATGGGAAAACCAACCTAGAGTTTGTTTGCATGAGGTGAACACATGCAAACATAAGAGGTAGTTGTAATAAAAGTAAACATCTTACTGAAACTAAGAATTTAAAATTGCCTTTAAGTACTTTTTTAGTAACTTGTTTTATCTGTTGATGAATAAAAATAAAAATTACTATGGACAATCTGAGCATGTTACTAAATTCAAACTCAATTTAAAATGATTCTAAACATCTGGTTACAAAGTAAATATTTTAAGTTAATAATTTAATAAACACATTTGCATCTGGCCATGCAGGTAAACAAATTAAATATTTTAGTAAGTGTTTAATTGTGACTTTTTAATTCAACATTATTTTATTTTTACATTTCTATGATTTAATTAATTAATAGCTTTTCGTCAACTCATAAACCCCCTTCAGTTCCTCACAAAACCCCAGTTTGGGAAAGCCTGATGTAATCAAAAGTTATGTTGCTTGTTTTCGAGATGAAATAGCACAAAGCAAAGGAACACTGTATAGAGTGCAAATGTACCATTTTAAACTGACTTCATCCCAAACACTATAGGAAAATAATCATTATATATAAAATGCTTGGTTTTGTTTAGCAATAGAGCAAAGAAAATCATTTGAAGCACCTTGCACCTTGAAGCACATGTAAATACCTTGGTACATGAGTTTGATAAACATTCGGTACCATGGAACATATCAAAGAAATATACTACTTCCTAACAACATATCTGTACCATGGTAAAACCACAGTACTTTTTTGTAAGGGTAAAAGCCATATCTCAAGGGAACTGTGGCTAACAATGTTTTCTAAGTCTTGTGGTCAGGAATAGGTAAGAAAACAATGGACTTACTGAAGGATCAGATTTAACAGAGTTTATAACAATAGAAACTCTTGTTGATGGTTAAGCCTGCAATAAGGGCTCGGACTTGTTGCATAAGCACTGGCATGAGTACCAGGTGGTACCGGCGCTGACATTTTCAAATGCCACCTCAAACTCAACTCTGACTTCTGCCAGAACTTTGCACACCATTAGGCTTTTAATGATGGCAATCGTGGTGCAATTAAACACTTGCATGCAGCATTTGCAGTGAGTGAGAGTTTCAGGTGCAATGAAACAGGTGTTACACAAATGTGCTTTTTAAAAGAGAGTGAATTTGTTTGGAAAAGAAATGGGAAAAAATAACGCGCTAAAGGAAGCTGATAAGATGTTATTGCAGATCTGGGTTGTCTCAGACAAGAATCGGTACACGAGGTAGAGGTGAATTCTCTTGAAGGGGCTGTTTGTGAGCGCTATCAAGACATTGTTTAAGAAGTGCACCGCTGTCCTGTTGGTTTTCATTCACTGGACGCCTGAGTCACAGTCTATTACAGGAGAAACACATCACAGCTCTCTCCGTGAAGCCAAATGAAACAGCGAGGGAGGGAGAGACCAGCTTCTCTCATTGCCATGGTGATAAAATGACATATTCCCACAGCAAGCCAAATCTAAAGCATCTCTGTCAAGTGCTTTTGTAAAGCTAGCTATGCTTTTAAATTCCACTCAGTCAAAATGTTTCTTTCTGCATGTCCTTGCTACAGTTCGCTGCTTGCTCATTTCTGTCTTATCAAGTTTTATGCTAGAGCGTGGTTATATTGCACCAAACAAAATGCTGATTCTTGATAATGCGGATAGTCTTTATTTGCATATGTGGCCTTTCTAAAGTCGTATTATGCTAAGTTATGATGTTTGGATTAGGCTACTGATTACATGTCAGGGTCAGAAATAAAAAAAAATAGTTCACCAAAAATTCAGTCATCATTTACTCACCCTTAATTTGTTCCAAACCTGCATGACATCCTCCAGTGGAACACAAAAGGAGACGTTCTGATCAAAAAAGCAGCATAAACATATAATAAAAGTAGTCCATGTGATTTGTAGCTATGTGATTTGTGCCATATATTCGAATCTTCTGAAGCAGGAAAAAAAAATTGTTTCTGGTACTTTTGAAGCATGTAGACAATACCCATTTACTACTACTGAAAACAACAACTAAGAACATTTAAAATGTCTCCTTTTATGTTCCACAGAAAAAGAAAATCACAAGAACGACATGATTTGTTTGAGTAAATGTTGACACTTTAAATTTGTAGTTGAACTATTCCTTTACACAGAAAAAAAAAAAAAAAAGTGACCAAAATACCACAGATATTAAGATGCTGAGACAAAAACAAAAAAACATTCCCATAATGAATTTACAAAAAAAATATTTATAACTTCTGATATATATTTGTTTGTTTTTTTACAAATTATTTTTATTATTTGTATCGTATTTATTTCTTAAAATTCTAAAACTCCTCTCACTAATTTAATTATTTAATTTATTTAATGAATTGATCATATTTAAAGTATTTGACAAACTATGACAGTATTTCTATGTAATTAAAAAAACATGATAAATGTAAAAATGCCCAAGAAAAAAAGAAACATGATTGGGAGACTGATAGAGATAAAGTCGCTTTTTGAAGGTATTTTCATTAAATGCTAACTTAATTTTACTAAACTGGTCACAGTCACATTTTGGATGTACACTCCTCCACAGGCCATTTCAGTGGCAAACTGAAAAAAAACTGGGACAAAGCTAAACTGAGAAGAGACATTTACTCTTTTTACATATGTTCTTTATTTGGGATGCTTAATATTTATTTGTTCCGATTAAATTTTAGAACTTTTAAAGGGAGAAGGTACACGGTTAATATGAATGAGAGGTTAATGGAAAGGGTATTTGGGGTTTTTTTCTGTAATGAAGTGTGAATGTTTGGTACTTGATGACGTTCCTGGATGACATACCTGGAGCGTGGCAAGAACATGGACTCTTTGATGAAGACTGATCCAGAGAGCAGAATGTACCAGCATGTGCCAATGTCATCGGGGCTGAAAGAGAGAGAAAAAGAGAGGATGACGAAAAAATTTAATTTAGAGTCTAACAGAAAACAAAACATGCTTATGTCTAACATGTGGTCTGGTTTGCTGTATGGTTAGAGAAAAAGCAGCTGACACGGACACACATAACATCAATGCCTAATGTAAACACTCTGTCATCATTTTTGTCCTGTGATACACTCCTGTGTGCAGACAAAAGATGACATTAGGAGATTCCCCAGAGGAAAACCGTGAACAGAGCTATCAAACGGCCAACAAACCATCTCTCTTCCTCCTGTAAGTGAAGCCAGTTGAAATATGACTGCTTGATTTATGTGAGTGTGTAGGAAATAACACACTGACACACAATCCCCACTCCTTTTTTTCAGGTCACAGAGCAGTCAGGAACGTTAGACATCTTCTGAGGCACGGTGGGTCGACGCCAGAGACATCCTTCCAGCTCCCGGCGAGCACCGCTCCATGTCTGCCTCTCCAGTAAGTGTTAAAAGTGGGAATGTGAGAAGATGAGCAATCCAATGAGCAGCGGACATCTTGATCACTGAGTCAGAACAGCGGATACACACTCCAGTGAGATAACATGCCCAAAGCAGTGCTGGGGTTTATGAGCTGATAGACAGTCCAGTGCTAACATGAAGCAAATAACTCAGATTTCATGCTACACTGCACACTTTATTATTGCACATTTTAATATGACTTTTTATGTGATTTAATATGTTTTGTCTGTGACGAAATTCCTTGTATATCTTCATCTTATCACGTTCACTGGAATTCTCGGTTCTAATGGTGCATTCAAGTTTTGTTGAAAAGATCGCAATTACGAGCTGAACGCACATGAACGCCACCACAAAGTCGTAAATACGAGTGGGAAGCTCGGGATTTTCTTTTTAAGCCCTGATCTTTACGAGCTTGGGAGTGTTTTAGTGAGAAACGTGACGGAATACCACAATATGTATAGGTATTTATAGCAGTGACATTGCCAGGCTTTTTTATTTACAACAAAATAAGATAATTCCCTGCACAAAATATAATGGCATTGTAATATAACAATATAATATGTAACAATACATTTTACAGTGGCTTCATAAATGAATTAAAAACATTAAAAAGCAAAACACACCTGATCCACGTTCTTCGTTCTCCATGGTAGAATTTAAAAGCTTTCTGTATTATTGTGTAGTTAATTAAGAGATGGTACACCGCCATCTTGCTCTGGTGAAAGTGACATGACTTCCCACCTCATAAATACACACTTCCCAGGAGGACTTGAATGTACCATTTACGGTCAGTCATATAGAGTGCAACAGTTGGGTCCAGGAAGTAAAAATCCTATACATTTTCATCATAGAGGAATGAATTTTTAACAATAACTTATAAAAAGATAGACCTAGTGTGAGCATCAGTCCACAACCCTATTTTATAATTATGTTTAACAATGGAATTCCTGAAGGAAACAACATCAACCAGGATTATGCAAAAAATATCCACCAATCAGATAATTGAAACAGCCAAATCGCACCAAAAAAAACCCACATAAGTGCTGCTCGCCCACTCCCATGAAGCTCAGCAAATGACATCAATCTCAATAGGGTCAATAGACGTCAATAGATTCAACCTCCCTACATTCTCAAACTATTACAATTTTCACAATAAACAACTTTAAATCAATAGTTTTGTGTCATTCGCATTTTTGCAGTTTGTAATGTTTTTATTTTCTTTGTATATGGTTGGTTTGGTTCATTGCATATAACTCTTGAATGAATTTAATGAATTACTGAAAAATTGAAAAATCTTCTGTCATACATGGCAACGCTGTATATTGGACTGCTCATTCTATAACTGAAAAGGCACTATTTATGTCTCTCGTATATATAACACCACAGTCTCACACTTTCATTTCATACAAACGCAACAGGCATCATCTTGTGTCTCTGTAATTGGCTGCAGTAATAATAACATCCAAGAACTTCAGTATTAATATTTCTATAATTGTTGCAGTGTGTCTTGTTGTGCCGCCAAACTTTTTGTATGTTGTAATGCACAATTTTTTAGCAAAAGCTTCACAATAATATACAGGTAAACCTTTAAGATAATTTTAACTCAAATGAAATTAATATTTCCCATCCTTGTATTTACGTATTTAGTAAGTAGCCACGCACACGATCCCTTATTGCACCCATTGAAAAGTCCATATCGATCAACAGAATGCTTTCCTCAACTTTGAGTACAACAAACAGTTCTCCAAACTTCTGGATGTTTGTCTTTAAATGAAAATCCTAAACAACACGCACACATAAATACTCGCTCCAGGATCTCTATAGGACTAATGAGGCAGCTCCTGACTGCTCTCAAACGCAGCACGAGCACGGCTTGCTTTTTACGTTCTCTTTCTGCATCGCTCCCTTCATCATTGCAGCTTCTGCTCCCTCTTTTAATCGTTTTTTTTACCCGAGCGCGCGCAGACAAAAACGAAGCATTCAATTATTAATCAGCAGAATGCAAAGAGGGAGAAGGAGAGAGCGGGAATGATGGAGGGCGAGAGACGGAGAGCGTGAGGATGTTCTGCACCATCAACGGAGCAGCGCTGACTGAACTGGGTCACTGAAACACTCTTCCAGCGCTCATCAAATGCTCATCAAGCTCACAGCCTCAGCCTTCAGCCCCTCAGGAACGACTCGGGAGCAGCAGAAACCAGAGCAGGAAGTCAGGCAAGGTTTGGAGGAATATGGACTTCATGCATTCATCCTTAGGGGTTATTTATCTGCTAATCTTCAGTAAGCTTAAAAAAGGAAATTCTTAATTAAAGGTTCGAATCCACAGACAAATACAGGAAAAAGAATAATATTAATAGTGTTGAAGAACAATTAATATTGTTGACTAATGGGCTGTTTACACCTGGCCACTTCATGCGTTTTCTGTGATCGGATAGCTATCCGATCGTGAAAAGACCAGGTGTAAATGCCCTTCGAAACGCATTCGAGACGGATTTGAATCCGATCGCTCAAACCACTTCAGGAGGAGGTCTGGGCCGCATTCCAAACGAAACTGGACAAGTGTAAATGCATCTGGTTGTTGAAACCACATATGTAAATTTTACTCCTCCCAAAAATGCTAAAAAATAAACGTGTGAGAGCGTGTTATAGGCTATATGTCAGCCCCTAAGTGTTCATGCCTTTACAAATCTATATCATAGCAACCAACATTATAATGCATTAGTTTCTCCAGGTATTACAGCTATAGTAAAACTTGAACAATGTCAATGTTGATTTATTACACTTGTACAGAACAAACAATAATGGTAGCAGCAGTTATTACTGGCATTTTAATAACATTTTTCCAGAAACCATGGTTACCATGGTAAAGTTTGTGAGGGTGTCACTAGATATTAGCAAAAAATGAAAAGAAAATGTCAATGAAAATGTCTGTTAACTGAAAAAACTTTAAAAAAAGCTAACTAGACAAAAAATAAATACCAAAATGACATTTTGATTCTCAGTATATTAAAAAGTTGTAAACCTTTACGACCAAATCGTTAAATATAAATGAAGAAAAGTAAAACATCTTAAACATTTAAATTATATCAGTTAACTTTGAAAGTCATAAATGTATTCTAAAGCTAAAATATTATAGACAAACTATAGAGTGAACTAGAGTAAGTAACTAATGCCTGGTACACATTGGACGATTTTGGGCTGTCCCAGACGAAAGATGACCAATCTTGGCGATTTCTGTGGTCGTGGCTCCCAAACGTGGTCCTACATCGTACAGTGAGAGAGGTTCAAAGACGGTGTTGTCACGGCCATGTGACCAAAGACAGCCTGCGATCATTTTCTGACAGTGTCAGAAATTTAACATGATCATTTCACAGTTTGTTTGAAATGGCATATTGATCAACACGACATGGTGCTAAAACTTAAAACTATTTACTATGCCAAGTCATGACCGAATCCATATTCTCCTCTTTCGCTTCCTCCTCTTTTTTTTCAGTGCACATAAAAACCACAATTGCTGCACTTTGATCTTGCTCTATTTGCTTACAACTAGAGCATACTGATGACATTTTATTCTTCTGTAATATATTGTGTCATCGCCTACAATTCAATAGATGTCATCATCGTAGTCTTTATACATGTTGTACCCAAGTTTATTAGATCCATGTCGTACAGTGTGATTTGTAATTATCTTATATGGTGATTTCACGCAGCCACCATTTTGAAATCGAAAGCGAGGCTCCGGTGGGAAGAACCCCGGAAGTACAGATAGACAACAATGCCTTGGACTACCAACCTGAAGCTGCTGCCACGATTTACACTATTGGATGTTAATATCCAATATTGGATATGTATATGCAGTAGTTCGTTCCTGCTTCTTTTTTTACGTTCTGATTTATATATAAAAAAATAATTTTATTTATAAATGAATTTCACTGTATATAGTCTAAAGTATGAAAGAAATGTATGTACATTTTTAGAATAACTAATTTCTACATTAAACAACAATATGCCATCGCATTCGCGACTCTCCTATGATTAAAGCAGAGTCCACACGAAGCCGGTGCGTTCCCTATCCGATATTCATTTTCCCTCGTTCTAAAAAAAATTTCCGTAAACACGGCGTCGTCTCAAGAAATATCTGCATACACACGAAACCACTGAAACCGACTGAAAACGGTGTAGTATATATATGCCAGACCAGTATGGGGCGCTGTAATTCTGCCACAGAGATACACTATACATGGAGAAGAAGACTTTGAGCATGTGCATAACCTTGCGCGCTGTTGCTCACCACAGTTGCATAGAAGCAATAGATTTTGCTGTAATAAAGCTAGTAGGCTTAGTAGATTCTGCAGCACGAACACAATCATGTATTCCGCAATTATTGTTGTTGCTGTTACGTGTGACGCAGCCGACACGTGATGTGATGACATCATCGTTTCACAAAATATACGGATTGGCTGTACACACGAAACCGCAAGGGTGTCGTTTTCAGATTTA